ACAAAACGCATGATCGGCCCAATTATCGGCCCATTCGGGACTCTGCCATCCTCAAATCCGGTTGAGGTATAGAAGGATTATTGTAGGCTGGAGTCCAGAAGGAGATTGACCCGGTTATGATATTTACTCGGCACTCAGGAATATTGAGCAGTGAGGGATCTTTATCGTGCCAACGCCTGTCGTTACACGGGGCCTCGGTTTTTAAGGTATCACCGAAGGACCCGCAACTTTCACTTCAAAGTGCCGAGCGCATGGCAAAAGAAGAGTTGCTACCTATTTGTTTGTTTTTTTTTTATCAACTTAGGTCAGTAGCGGCCGAGATTCGAACTCACGACCTCCCGATCACGGAGCGAGCGCTCTACCGACTGGGCTGCCGTGAACGGTCAGTCTCAATTGAAGTCATCATTTCGCAAGTTTTACGGTCGTTACAATGAGCTTGTCAGCACATACAACCTATCATTAAGTCAAATGCTCACTGATGTATTTCATTACTAATTTTTAGGCCATTACTTATACACTGAACCGTCTACGGATTTTTCCGAGGTTTTTTTCGCGATCATGACAAGGAGCACATGGCGGGTATGACCAGTCGGCAGGTTTTGCTCACTCCTCCATGGCACCTGATTCCACCTCTAAATTTTGAAACCGGTGTTTTCTCTGCTCCAAATTTGTATCGTTTCATTGGACTTTCGAGATTGGATATTATTCGTTATCTTCATTTTTCATTGACAGCATATATACAAGTTAAACAAACGAAAGAAAAAAGGTCGCAAACGGGTAGAGGAACTGGATCCTCCTTTGGAATATGATCGAACTAAGAGGGAGTAAAAACGTTATAACGCATACTTAATTGTGTAAATAACTAAGTCTTACGTGTACGACTTTTTAACTCAAAGAGATACATGTGTACTTTGACTGGGATGAATGACTATTATTCCCTCGAAAAATTGTCATTAGTAGTTAGACAAGAACGGTATGATCAATATCCAAGGATCGCAGATATGACCTCAGTTTGTATCCATCTTGAGGTCGTCATAGAGAGAACGTAGATTCCGGGTCTCGGGAACCTTTTGTTGAGTACAGGGGACGTTGGAGAAGAAAAAGCAATGAGGCGAGGGAGTGCACTTTAGGAGGGAACGGCCCCCAGTGCCGAGTCACAAGACCGGGCCTCTGGGAGGCAGCATCATTACTCCAGTAACTCGATGAGGGGTAGCAGTTAATAAATAATCCCCCGGGAACTGGACGAATTAAGAGAGTTAAAACTTACCAGCTTAGTCACAAGCTGTAATCTATCGTCCAAGAACGGTATGATCAATATCCAAGGATCGTAGAGATGACCTCAATTTGTCTCCATGTCAAGGTCGTCACCGAGAGAACTTAGATTCCGTATCTCGGGAACCTTTTGCTAAGTACAGGGGAACGTGGGAGAAGAAAAACCAATGAGGCGAGGGAGTGCACTTTAGGAGGGAAGTTGATTGTGTCAACATTTAAAACACAAGTACTGGAAAATTATCATTTAAGAAAAAAATTTTATAAATGAAACGAGAATTTGAAAAAAAAAATCTTCGAGAAATCTAATGCTGCAGGAAAATGAAGAAATATGTTGCATAGAATGAAATAACATAACATATAGATTTTATTTTAAACTTACAATAATATATGCATGCATTATGCAATCGAAAATCTATATTATATGACTAACAGCTGGTACCATGATCTGATTAGTTGAGATTTATAAAATCTTTGCGCTTTAAGACTGAAAAGAATTAATTGCAGCATTCGTGTTCTCATGTGCACTACGTAAAAGTTAGATTTTAACGACACAATTCTTGTGCATGTGACGACTGTGTTGGGTTGGGTGGTGGAGTGGGGGATGTTGTTTTTTGTATATTTGTGTGAATGTAACTGGGCGAACTTCACCAGTAATCATATTCTATAATGATAATCAACAAAGGTATATGTTCCATAAAACGCTATATTTTTTAAAATGACTGATATATATATCGCTTCTTGTTAGATGTGTAAACAAAAAGTTCGTAACTTTTTTTTTTATCGGAGTAGCTTGTGAACTTTCGGACTTGTGGGCCTTCGGACTAGTGAACCTTCGGATTAGTGGGCTGTCGGACTAAAGAACCTTCGGATGTTGGGTGTTGCCTAAATGCACTAGTGGGTAGACCCCATCGAAAACTCCTCCTTGGGAAAATTTTAGAAAACAAAGAAACAAATGAAACAAAGAAATTATGTCACAAAAATTAAGCGTCAATCTATCAATCAATACTCTATTGAACGGTGTGCAGGTGGACGAAAAATTAAAGATTTTTGGCCAACTATAAAACCATTTTTGTCCAACAAAGGTACAAATGTCAGAAACACACTGTGTTTGTGAAACACTGGTGCCCCCGTATGGCAGCTTATGGCAAGGTTTGAAATTCTCAAATGTATGTCAAACTCCAAGGTCAAGGTCAAAAGGTCACAATTGTTGGTATCCAATAGAAGATCTTGCCACAAGGAATACACCTGTGAAATTTGAAAGCCCTAGTACTAACTGTTCAAAAGTTAAGGCTAAGGTTGAAGTCAAAAGTTCAAAATAATTATACCCCTTGAAAGGTCTTGTCACAATGAATACACATGTGAAGTACGCAGCTCTGTTAAGGCGTACTACGAAGAAATCAACGATCGTGCATAAATACATACCCTTTTAAAATGAATTTATTTTTGTAAAGCTACTATATTATCATTTTAATATTAATTGAAATAACATTGTATAGACGGTTCTCGAAATATATTCATGTATGCAAATGACCCCGGGTCACATTTCGAAAACGAGGCTAAACTAGGCAACTATCATCAGCAACATGAAAACATGGCGTCTTAAGTCAAATCATCCCAAGACGATTATTGTTGTGTGCTGTAATGTAATGGAATGGTGTGCTGTAATGTAATGTAATGGAAACGCAAGAACAGACGGGGAGTTAAGTTTCCATCATATTCCGACTAATCCCGATATGATTAAAGCGCTGGGTTATTGCCATACGCAGGGATGAAAGCCCGTTTTTCAAGGTTAGAAACATTGCATCATACGCCGCGCTGATCACGTCCGTAACCATGTCCTATGTTTACCATGTTTGCAGTTACGGTATGTCTAAAAGTTTATCATTCATTTCATCTTTTCATTAAATTACGAAAACAGATATTTATTAGAGTGCTGTAATTCTCTGCATTCAATTTAAAAGTAAATTAAACCATATAAAATTATGTACGTGAAATAGGCCTATAGTATATGCATGTTCCCGCAAAACTGAAAGTAACTAACATATTTTTCTACAGTATTTTAATGAAGTTGTGTAGGCTCTTTATATGGTTTGTGTGTCAATATTCAAAAACCAATAAAAAAAATACTTTAGATTGGAAAAAACACAGTGGTATGCTCCAGACATTTCAAGAAACAAGATTTTCGCTGGACACCTAATAGAAAATGCCTAACAAGGGATGCAGCTCCATCAGTTTTTGACTGGATTTCCACTCTCAGAATCAGAAAGACACCATTACTTAGACAACTTTTGATAACCCTACATAAAGAGAAAAACTCTGCAGAATTAAATAGGTTAACATCTGATGCCAGTGATTTTGAAGCTGACAATGATGAGATACAAGAAGGGAACCACAGTGATAAGTATGTATAAAACTGAATTACATTAAAGCTAATTAAAATTGTATATTCTGAACCTCCTATGCTACTGAACAAACATCTAATTTTAATTATATTGAATTACAAAACATTTCTATAACATGAAAAGTAAACACATAGTAAATCAACATGATCAAAGGTAACTTCCATATTTTATAAATCACAATATTTTTGAGAAAATATACAATTTTCTTTTCCAGAGAAGATGAGGTATGAGGTCGAAAACATTCATTTAAGCTGCCAGAGAAAAATGCATGATCTAATTGTTGATTGAACAAAAAGAAAGTGAAATCAAGAGAAAAAATGAAGAGTTTTCCGATCTTCAACAGAAATATCAATTAGAACGGTTTGGTGTGATCAGATTTTCCTTTGATGATGACATGATGGAATTTTATACTGGATTTCCAAGTTATAAAATATTTTTTTATTTTGCAATAAGACCAATTGCTTCAAGAATGAAAAGTGTTTATTATAGTTCTTTAGAAGAAGTTAACATTAGAGGGCGCCCAAGAACGATGGACCCTACTGATGAACTTTTTATGTTCTTATGTCGATTGAAGTGTGGTTTTATCACTGAGGATTTGGCTGTTCGATTTAACATTCATGCATCAACTGTAGGCTGTAAAATAATTACATAGACAAATTTCTTATATTTCACCCTCGGTGGCATCAATATTCGGCCTGAAAAGGAAAGAATCCAACAACAGATGTCAAATTACTTTCAAATTCAGTACCCTCACACGCGCGTAATTCTAGATTGCACAGAAATCTTTACTGAAAAACCTTCCTCTTTAGCGCTCGCATCAAAAACATTTTCCACCTACAAAAGCCACAATACATGGAAAGGACTAGTAGGAATTGCACCTCATGGAGCAGTCACCTTCATTTCTTCCTTATACTCTGGGTGTATATCAGACTTAGAAATCACAAAATATTCTGGGATTCTTGACCAATTAGAATCTGGGGATCAAATTATAGCAGCTAAGAGATTTAATCTTGACAAGCTTTTGAAAGATGGTGTTACTATTGCAAGTCCACATTTTCTATGTAGTGATGGACAATTTTCTACTACTCAGATACAAGAAAATCAAAAAATTCCCTCTCTCAGGATCCACGTAGAGCGCCATATAAAATGAGTAAAAGAGTATCGCCTTTTGCAGTCTACTGTTCCTCTTTCTGTCGCAGGATCAATTAATCAATTATGGACAATTGCAAATATACTTACTCTGTTTCGTAGACCTTTAATAAAACCAACAAAACAAAATGAAAAAGCGTTGTGTTTTTTGTTTTATTGTAAATAACAAACTTTATTTCAGCTATTTTCTTTAATTCAAATAATAATCAAAGAAAAATGAATCTAATTTATCTTTTGTACGTTGCCAAAAATCTTCATAAAAATAAATGGTTTCCAAATGTGCATCATTTTCCAGCCATACAAAAAAGTCACACCAAGACAAACCTGTCACTGCCATCTGCGTTTGAATTTGATAATAATAATTGTCATTTTTCTTCAGTTTTAACTGTCCATTAGTATCGGAAAGACATTTCACTTTTGATAAATTGTCAGTATTTGGACATTTGATTTCAAGCAGTCCATAGGATGGATTTCTACTTGGCATGTACAGTTTTCTATCTGGTGTTGCAGCAAGCCAATGACAGTATGGATTAACAATCACACCACAAGGAAAAATGTTCACCTCATTGTCCATTTTCTGAAATGTTAACGAATTGACTACAAATCAATTTTAACAAGCATTCTGAGAGTATTGCATTAGCAATACTAGTCCCCTACCGGCAAGTGTAATCTGGTTCCCATTAAGAATTGAAAATGCCATAATTCCGTCGAAAATCAATGAAGCGGGACAAAATGTAAACTTGATCTATAACTAATCAAAGTTAAGTCACATACCAAAAATCAGCTCAATATCTGAAAGCGTTAAGAAGAAAAGTCCGGAAAACCCCTAATAATTGAAAAGGCCGTAATTCCGTCAAAATTCAATGAAGCGGAACGAAATACAAACTTGATCTGTAAGTCATCAAGATACACTCACAAACCAAAAATCAGCTCGATATCTGCAAGCGTTTAGGAAAAAAGTGCGGAAAACCACGTGGGACAGACTGACAGACAGAGGGACAGACAGATAGCATTTTCAATTCTTAACGGGAACCAGATTACACTTGCCGGTAGGGGACTAGTAGTGCTAATGCAATACTCTCAGAATGCTTGTTTTTTATGCATTTCATATATATTTAGCTGCATATAAATTTGTGTATATAAATGTATACTATCCAGGACTGTCACCTAATGAAAGACACAAATAACATCAGTACTGTTATATACCTCGCTGTATGCTTGAGCTGCTACATCTTCACATTCAATACCCCGTTTCATAGCTGCAGTCTGCACATGACGTGTTGATTTCAACCGGTCAGCAAGTTTTTCACCATCTGAAAGCAGAGGTCTATTTCATCAACCGGTCAGCAAGTTTTTCACCATCTGAAAGCAGAGGTCTATTTCATCAACATCTAAAGAGTCATTTGTAAGGCAAGATAAACATGATAAATTAGACAACTTTCCCGTACACTCACCGAAAAATAAAACATCAGTAATTATCTAAACATTCTCTTAAAATTGAATTGATAAATAAATGGCAGATCAAAGCTATCAAAATTCATGTTTTTTTTTCAAATTGTGATGAAAATGCAAGAAATGCAAACATATATACCTGCTCTTCGCTTGGCTATTTCCCCAGCCTTGGATGCTGTGATCCTGTCTCTCCTTATTTTATGCCACTTAGGATATTGGGACTGGAAACGTGTACACTGTTCAATTTCTTGGCTTTGTACCTCTGAAACTTTCAGTGAAGTAAAGTTTTTCATCTGCTGTTCTTTCGAAACTATGTTCACAGTGTTCACCATAACATTTTTTTGCTGGCAAGATAGGAAACATATTATTATCCACTAAGTTTATAATGTAGCCACCAGACAATTTTTGTTGATCACTAATTGGGCTTCCCTTTTGAAATTTTCCAAATTTAGTATCTACAGCATCAGAGCTTTGACCAACAACTGTATTGAACAAAATGTTTTTGTCTGCCATTTTGTCAAGTAGAGTATTAATGTCAATTGATTCATTTTGTGAGACAGGATTATACAAAGTTGACTTTATCCCTTTTGTGCGGCGAAGAGGGTTTTCTTTGTCATAGCCCTGGATAGTCAAGTTGTCTGCTTTCTCCCCTCATAGTTTTTCTCCCCTGGGCACATGCCAAGTCTGTGGCAATGAGGTTTTTGCTATATCCATAGGAATGAGTGTAAAATTCACCTTTTATAATGAGCAATCTGATACAAGAGAGTACTAACATGTCCACAATTGCCACTTTGTCCAATAGTGCATGTGCAGAATGAATGCTCAATTTTGTCACTGTTCATCAAAACCTGTAGATTTAAATAATATAAAAATAAAATATAAGGGGGCTTGGTCATTTTTTTTTCACAGAATCCTTCCATTCCATATTTAAATGACCAAAACTAACTGAGAAGAGTTTTAACCTGGATAAACATGTAGATCTATAATTTATACATGTACCTTCATTTCATGTGGGCTCTCATTTTTCCTTTGAGACCTGTAGCACTTTGCCCTTATCAGACAACCAGCTTCATCGGAAAAAACTGCAAAAATTGCACATTTTATAAACACGTTGTTTTAATTCCCCATATTTAAAGTTATAAGTAAAATCTTGAAAACTTGTCGTATGTCAGTAGGTGGGTCAAAAGAATGATCAGCTGATCGACTGTACGATTCATACAGTCATGTAATATGTACATAATTTGACGAACTCCAGACGAATAAAATCTTTCAAATACATAAAATAGATATAAAAATGTAGTGTTCGTGTTTAAATCATTTAGCATCGTACATGTATGCCTGTCCATAGGCGTTCAATTCTTAATACACAACGTGAATACACAACGTGACACATTAACAAGGTGACGAATATTAAACTTACCAGCAACAGAATGCACATATTCTTCCCTGTAGTACTTAAATCCCTTTGACATGTGTTCTTTCCCGGAGCTACTACGTCGCGGCTTCTGATAAATTTTTCCACAAAAGAAGACGACATATCTGGCACAATGGAAAAATCTCTCGTTGAACGTGTTGATGAACTGGAGGCTGCCAGTTTGTTTTCATTCGTTGCCTAACTTAGGCTCGTTTTGGATTTTTCATGAATATTTATTAAACCTTATTTAAGAATCGTCTATACGATGTTCTATATGGAATTTGGTTTGGTCACGTTATTTGACAGTCACGTGATAAATGTTTGTATTGTGTACTGTATATATGTAGGTCATGAACAAATTTCAGTATCGCAAGGGCATACCGTAGTTAAAATTAAAAATTTAAGTAATATATTGTTTCTACATAACATGTAGTTTATGGAAAGTGCTGCAGCTCTAAATAGAATTCGCATTTTATTAGTTTAAATTTCAAATTGCTCTAGTCGAAATATGTGTGACATTTACGAAGTATTTTGTAATAATAATAATAATAGATCAAAATCATATGGTTTGAAGTCTTTTAGATATGAATCTGCAAAACCTTGGAATTTTTTACCAGAATCTTTTAGAAATATTACTATTTCTAACCAATTAAAATCATATATAAGTAGTTGGTACAGAAATTGTTGTAATTGCTGTGCTTGTCGCTAATTTTTATTTTTAGATACTAGTAAACATGGTTTATTTACAGTTTGTTGGTCTTAATGTGATAAATTCTATGTCATACGTCATTGTAATGCATCACAGAGGTATATTGATAATTTAGTAGTGGGATATTGTTTCTTGTTTATTCTGTATGATCGTTGTATTATATGTAACATTATTATGTAGTCGGAAAATACTCGTCAGAGCTAATATTTTTACTGATTTACCCGACATTAAATAAAAATTATCTTATCTTAATCTTTGTTCACCTCTGTAAATGAGCTCGGCTCTCTGTACTTCTGAGAACTTTGCTTCTTAACATCGGGTCAATGCTATCTGATGTTCTGGAAGTTTCCGTCAAATTAAGATCGGTGAATGACAAAAGAAATTTGCACATTTCAGTCACAACTTATTTCTTTAATATCATTTAAATGATTTTTTTTTAAATTTTAATAAATAATTCTGTGATGATGTTTTATGAAATAAATTAACGATTGCTTGTTGTTAGTGGTCTTAAAAATTGCCAGAAACTTAGATCCCCCAATGGAAACCGCACTGTACTCTCGATTTTGTTATTTTATATCTTCTTTTTTTTTTTTTTTTTTTTTTTTTTGAAATGAAAGTAGGCTTAATTACATTAACGATAATTAATATGCGAGTGAAATCTAAATAAAATTATACCATCTAGTATCAAGGATATTCTCAAAGGAGTAAGAAAGAACTCTTGTGTTTCTGAGTTTCGGAGATTATTTGCAAGATTTATTAATCTGTAAGTATAAATTGTTAAAGTTTACAGGTTGTCTGTCGTAACTTGAGCTCGGCGTGCACTATAGGTATTCAGCAAGTTTTCACTTTCACCCCTTTTTTTCCTTTTACAATTCCATTTATAACATGCAATTCCATTTGCAATTAATGATATACCCAACAAAATACCCAACACGATTGTCCCAGTTTTATTCGATGTCTCCCCTTCTTTGGTAGGTTTGATTGGTTTCTTTTTGCACAGCTGATCACTCTCGTCACTGTTGTCACCACAGTTCTGATAACCGTCACACTCTACCGTAGAGTCCACACACCATCCGTTTTTACAATGGAATTCACCCGATAAACAAGTCCCTTTAAAATATTAAGGTTATATATTTATAATAAATTGTCATATATTAATTTTTGAAGAGTCACGAATTAATACCAGTCAAGGATCAAGAGGTATGGATGTCTACCAACTTAATCTTTGAAAATAAAAAAAAAAAGAAACTGGAAATCGAGAGGGAGGAAGATTGCTTATCCTAAGTGTTCAGTTATAAATATAAAAAGGATTTCTCTAGTCTAAATTTTGATGTGGAATCCTCAACCAAACACGTTTGTGTGTATTCATCCATCCCGAAATACCAGCCGTATACACAAAATACACTGTACCTGTTTTATTCAATGCGTGGGAATTTTTTGTCCCTTTTGCTTGATTTACGTAACTTCGAGAATTTTCGAGTCTTGTTAGAAGGTAATGTGAAGAACTAACCTGAAGTGGGTGTATGAAAACTGGAAAGAATTATTTCAAACTTTCCATGTTGTTTGATTATATCTGTCTTGAATTCTATAGGCATAAAATTATCGTCTTTGGTAGAGTAGTCTGCAATTGTTAACGAACTCCCACAAAGCCCTTCACTTCCTGTAAAAATTATATTAAAAAACGAACGAAGTCAAGGTGGTTGCAAATTTTTTGGCTGTATTTTCAAAGTACAGCAACCAAATTAAAAACTTCTCAAATTTACAACTAAAAACATATGAATCGGTTCAATCGAAATCAATATTAATAAGGTACCTGTTAGGTTCTTTTTGTTTCCTAATCCACTGTAAATATCAATTCTAGCGGACTTGCACACCCCATCCTCCGGCTGTGAAAGATTTATAGAACGAAAATGGGCATAAACACTAACAACCTCGCCAAGGTCCGGAAATTTACCATGGGCTACCACAATATTATCACACAATATGTCCGGAATCAAATAGCCCTCATTTCGCTTCAGTTTTAAATGTACAGAATCGTAAACGTGGATTTCCTGTCCACAGTTTTCATAAAAATACACTGAAATACAAAGATTTAAAATAGAACATTTTGTGATGTTATAATGGGATTTGTCTCCCGCTTTCACTGAAAATGGAGGGGTGGGGCATTAAATCTCATTCGACTGTCGTTTTTCCCTTTGTCATTAGAAACTTTAACTTGGTCATAACTTTTGATTGAGAGAAGAGAGAGGGCTTTTATATTGCACATGTACATTACCTGTAACAAGACTTTTCCAAGTAAACTATTATTTATGACCCCATGACCTTGAACTTTAACCTTTCAATTTTTTTTTTTATAATTACTTTAAATTGGTTGTAACTTTTGAAAGAAAAAAAAAGATAGGCTTCATATTACACCTAACACACGCTAACTGTGACAAGAACTTTCTAAATAAACTATGATTTTTGACTCTGTGATCCTGACCTTGAGACTTGACTTACTTTTTAAAAATTATAATTTTTGATTGAGAAGAAATAGGGTTTTCGTATTTGATATGTGCATTGCATGTGACAAGATGTTTCCGAGCATGCTATGACCCCTTGACCTTGATGTCTGACCTAATTTTCAAAAAATTATTTCTGGTGAATATTTTTGAATGACATATGAAAGGGTGTTCATATTTGACACAATTTGCCATAAATAATGGCGACCCATCCACTAAGACACCGAATGCGGGGGGCCACAATTCTTAGAATTTGCTTGTTTCCATAAGCGGGGGACACATATTCTCTAAATTAGCTTCTTAAACATATATAATTTCAATCAAATGTCAAAGGGAGACAAAAACTCGAAAAACTTTATTTTCCTTTCCAAAGTGACTTTTCTAGAACATGACGTACTTGTTGTATTACATGTTTCGTATGTCTCATCAGTGTTGTCTCCACAATTATCAAACGAGTTGCATTTGGTTGACGGATCCACACAACGTCCATTTCGACATTTCCACCACTTATATAAACACTTCTCATCTGATTTGGTGATAAGAGTTAAATGAACAAAAAGTTTAACCATGTGACTCTTTGTAACAAAGCACCTTTTCACAGATAATTAAAAAAAATAGAGAATTAATAACAAATCTCATCAAAATGGTTTCAAATATTTTATCTAACTTATCTTATACACCTTCTTCGACTTCATGGAAGTTCGTTATAATTGCATCAAATGAACCATCTTTGGTAGAAGGACCCGTTGTCAAATTAAAGGTCATGATACTCTCATTGACAGTAATGTAGCTGTATGTTTTGTTAAGAAAGTCCCCACAAAGTCCGTTGATTGCTGTAAAAAAGTTTATGGACGGATTAAAATTGTTTGCTAACATATCAATCGACACGGTAGAAAGAAAAACAAAGTGTAGTTAAGATTTACGTGTAAGCGGATTTGCATTTCTTGTTCCTTCGTAAAGTTCTATCCTTGTCTTCTCACATTTTAATGTTCGTAAAGACAAGTCGATACTGAGGAAGCGAGTGTGAATCCTCGCAGAATCTCCAGATGTTGCAGAAAGGCGCACTAGACATGTCAAGTCTGGCCGCAGATGGTTGTCTTTGGACGCCTGGAGTCGGATATAACTCCCCACATGCAGAGTTCGACCACAATGTTCATCAAGGAAGTCTTTAAAAAGAGTTAAAAGAAGACGAGTTCGTCATTCGCAGATCTTGTACGGGATGTCTGTAAACTTTTCACATTTTTGACTTCTTCTCAACAACCACTGGGCCAATTTTAACTATATATCCACATAGTATTCTTGGGTAAAATGTATTTTCATTTTTTTTAATGGGGAAATGTCTTCTTCAAAAGAGAGATGACTCAGAAATAGTGAAAATTTGTTAGCATTTCTTAAAAATCTATTAAAGAACCACTAGGACGGAAAAATGAAAACTTATAGTGTTGATTCCCTTTTTTTTAATTTCAAATTATGACCCTCAGTGTTGAAAGGAGGGGGGTTACAATGGGTGATCAAAGTCTTATATGGGGATACACAGGAAAAAATCTTTGAAATTCATCTTCTCAAGAACAGCAAGACCATGACTGGTCATATTTATATGGAAACGTCATGAGATAGCGAGGATTTAAGTTGATTAAAATCGTGAACCCCCGAGGGAGGGGGGAGGGCTTAATGTGTAATTTAAGTTTTACAAAGGAATACTTAAAAAAATTTCTTTGGAACAGCAAAGCCATGATTAATCATTATAATATAAAGACATTTTCAGGTTGTGTTGATAGAAATTTGTTTAAATTATGACCCTCCCAGTACTACATGTATAGAGCGAGTGGCCAATGAATCAAAGTTATGTAAAAAAAATATACATAAAGGATTATAGACCTGTTTACCCATAGTGTTGTCTGTCAGTATTTTTTATGAGATTTGTCAGTGAGATTTGGCATTTTCCCGTAAGATTTTACTTTCCATCGATTTTACTATATTACTAGAGAAACCACCGCGTTTTGGCAACCCGACATCACTTAGTGTTTGAAATCCTTCTTTTTTAGTGATTAAAAAGCGTCAAACTGAGACAGATCATAACGAAAACTAACTGCTAAAATCCAAACGAACGCATTTCGGATTTCCGTATTTTCATTCAATCAAAACGTGAGACGTATTTAATACTCAAAATCCGTAAAATTACGGCGAAATCGTAAGAGTAAACAGGTCTGGGATTATATAGATAAAAATTACCTTCTCAACAACAGCAAAGTCATAATTAGTCATATTTATAAAGAAGCATCCTCAGGTAGAGCAGATTCAAGTGTGTTCAAATGAAGTCCCCAGTGAGCAAGGTTAGAATAGATCTAGCATAAGAAAAAAATTTACAAAAGCCATAAGCGCAGTATCTGCTCTAGAGTCGGGGAGTAAGGAGTCGATCCTTACGTCGTGGGTTCGAATCCCACTGTGGGAGGTGGAGACCGGTCCTTCGGATGAGACCGTATAAACCAAGGTCCCGTGTCGCAGGAGGTGCTGACACGAAAAAGATCCCTCACTTCTTAATAGGTCTGAGTGCCAAGCATAGTTCAAAATTTGCAGCTCTCCACCGGCAAGTGGTGGGGTCTCCATATAAGTGAAAAATTCTTGAGAGGGACGTTAAAGAACAAACAAACTAAAGTCATAATTTGTCAAGGTAGTATACAGCCCCCCCCCCCCACTTTTATAATTAAACTTTTCAGTATTGATCAGATTTCTGCTTTTTCTTAGCAGAAGTGCTCAGGTGAGGAATGTGGCCCATGGGTCTGCTGTACAAATGATTGCCGGCGACAAAAAAACTTGATGTCTTTCAACCCTCACAATTTTTAATGGTTCAAAGTACAAAAACTCCATTTATTTTCATTTAATATAGTTTAAATTTACCAATTATTGCAAAAATGTATAGGTTTTCATATTTTTTAAGATGGGACACATAAAAAAAGCAGATGTATATGTAAACATAAAAAATTGTGCATTTTTTGTAAACAGTCTAATAAAAATTATGTAAAAACTTGGCAAATGCATAATTCTGATGCTGAAAGTTCCAAAATACTTGCTACTTATAAGATACTTCTGAATTGTGAATATCAGGGAAACTATTTTTCGTTAGAATACAATAAAGAAAATGCCTGAATGAAGATACCTGAGAAGGAGTTATTGCCCTTGTCAACATTTTTTTTAAAGATTGAATAATTGATTACATAAAGAAAATATATATATTTTTAAATTCTTTTACATAACAACTAGATGAAATCCCGCGCAAGCGCGGGGAATTGAATTTATACCACTACCGACAGAAAAAATCCAATAATCTATATATTGTGTATACATATATACATATACATAATATACATAGTTTTTACTGACAGCCTACAGGCTATAGCAGGAAGAAATAATTTGTTCAAAATCCAGCATGAAGTAGAAGTACGTCTCCACCCCCGCCTTTGTAAAACTTAAATAATTTCATTAATTGACGTTTATTGTGAAACCTGTTATATACTATGTTACATGTATGAATATTGTATATATTGTGTTATGGATATTGTACTTCAGATGCTCTTATTTCATTTCCGTCAAGAAATGCACATTTTGCTGAGAAATTGATTTTTTTTTTGTAAAAATTCACAGGTACTTGGGTCTTGGTTTATAAATATGTATATACATTATTGATATGTAAAAACTGTATCTTTCCTTAATTTTTTTTTTTTTTTTTTTTTTTTTTTTTTTTTTTTTTTTTTTTTTTTTTTTTTTACATATCAATAAGGTACATACATATTTATAATCAAAGACCCAAGTACCTGTGTAAAAATTAGCTTTTATATAACGCCCTATGAGTACACTGGCGGATTTAGAGGGGGCAGACCCCCTCCCGTTTTGTGTCCAAAATATACATAAAATTTAATAAATCATTTTTTTTTTGGGGGGGGGGGGTGTGCGTGGGCCCCTACCCCAACCCCAAACTGCCCCCCTTTCAAGATTCCTGGATCCGCCACTGGAATAGGCCGAGTATTTGATACAAAAGATTATATTCAGAAAAAAACTGAAATGTATTGATTAAAGCACAAAATTTTACAGCATAATTGTATTTGAACAATGCCTTATTCATTAATTTTCTCTTTTCATGTAAGCAAGTTTATTACAAAGTACAAATTGTACTTAGGGTTCGTTGCCACGATGCTCTCAGTGAGGAATATATACAAATTTTACCGATAAATTTATCAGGAAAACCTACTAAATATAAGTAATAGTCTTTCGATATATAAATATATTTACAACTTACAGTGTTATCAATGATTTACCATTATTTCAATGACCATTCACTCAAAAGCTTTTTTTTATGTTAAAGCAGCTATTTTCTTTTTAACATCGGGCTCGATGCTATATGATTTTCTAGAAGCTTCCGTCAATATTACGATCCGTGAATGACGGAAATAATTTGCACATTTTCCTTTTTAATCGGTTATCACAACTTATTTCTTTTATATCATTTAAATCAAGTTTTGATTGAATTATACAGTAATGACGTTTAATCAAATAAATAAACGATTGCATGTTGTCAGTTTCATTAAAAATTGCCAGTAACTTAGATCCGCCAACCGGAAACGCCACCGTACTCACGTTTTTGCTATTTCATGGCTGTTTATAGAAAATAAAAGTCGACTTTTAATTTAATGTACGATACTTACAATGCAAGTGTAATCTAAATATAGTTTACGGACATCATCTTGTATCGTGTATATTCTTAGAAGAGTAAGTAAGAACTCTGGTGCAGGAGTTTCGGAGTTTATTTGCAAAATGTATTAATTCATAAGTATAGATATTTATCATTAACCCTATTGAAAAGCATTCTTCCAAACAATATTGTTCCATTGGGTATGAATTAAAATTAAGGAAGCTCTAAGTACTAATGAAAAATGCTTTTTGGACTTTGAGAAAAATATATCATATTAAGGTGCATATATTCAGTGTATCTTGATCATTTTCAACACAGGGTGCCTGCCTTATTTCTGCAGAAAAAATGTTCAAAGACAATGAACTATTAGTGAACGGAAATCACTGTTGTTTACTTGCATCTGGAAAATTAATGGAAATAATGTATTCAATTACTTAATCTTGGTCTAATATAACATTAAGAATACTTTAATTCATAAGAAATTGTGTCATTAACTGTAGATTCCCATTTATTCTATTTTTTTCTTCTAAGGGCAGATCACTCTAACTCAATAAAACTACCCTACAAATAGAGCTCTTTAGATTGCAGTGTTTAGAGCTTCCTTAATAACAGTTTTTGGAAAATCCTAGGTCATCATAGGAGGATGGAAATACCTTAAAAGCAAAACACGGCTAGTTTATACACATACGCCATATTAGATTAAACTATCTACGATATCAGCATTGGAGGTATACCCTTCGCACACCTTAGTGCTTTCTTGTCACGGGTATCGGCGTGGAATGGCGACACGTGTTCGTTATTGTTATCTTACATTGCCTTTGTTTACATTTTATTGCATTAATGGGTATTTGTGTTTGTTTGTTTGTAGGATTGCACTGACCTGTGCAATTATTGTAGGTTTCATTGGTATCTTTCTCTTCTGCCGTGGGAGAGTACACGGTAAATTTGTCGCTACCTGGTGCTTATGTACATGTATCGACACAGGTGACAACTGATTACAATGGACAGTGACTAAGTGGACGTCTTATAGAACATTTTCGGAATCTCAGACATCTGACAACGTAGTACGGACAGCGGACTGCAAACAATAGACGACTTGCGGGGATCGTATAGAAATACGTTTTCAAACTTACTAACATGTAGTATGTACTGTACTGAGAATTTTTTCTCAGTATCCCCTACATCTATTGAAATTGAATGAAGATAAAATAATAAACAATTGCATAATTGTAGAAATAAAAAAAAATCAATTTTGGGACATCTTACAAACAAATAAATGCATGAATTGATCTTGATTAATATATATCTATACATGATATGCAGCTACAGATCCAGAGGGGAGTTACGGCAGTTGTACTCTCCTTTATTTTTGTGCAAATAAAAAAAAAACAAATGAACAATTTAAAAAAAAAGGTAGACGTGGTGAAAAGGAGAGGCTTGTGTAAATTGAATTTTAAAGATTTATCCGACCTTGTTCAGTCCAACCTCATGCAGTCGATCAAAAATTTCGATTTCTCTCAAGTGTACATGGAACATAGGAAAATAAGTGATTTTATCCTTTCTTCTCGGTTAAAATAAATTAAAAATAGAAACCAGTGAACAATTTTTACTTGTTTAAAATAAATTGGATATCAAAAAAGAGTGTTGAAAAATAGTTTTAGCATATTGCAATATATCTAGATTGATTAAGAACGAGGAAATGAAAGCAAAATACTCGATTTGAAACATAAAAATGTTTATTGCTAGGCTTATTTCCTTGAGTGATTTTAATCACTCAAAATGAAAAAAAAATAATGAAAAATTTCTTCTCTATTTTTTGAAGATATTATGAAATAATTGAGATAGATAATACATATACGCACAAAATGTTGAATGACTTTTAGCATAATTTAGGCGTTTCTTTGTTGAACATGAACTACCGGTATTATATCCATGTATGTAAGACTGATAGTGTTCATGCAATTCCCTCGATAATTCAAAGTACATTATAATCATGGACAAGATCTAAATACACATTCTTCATTGTAATGCGTCGATGCGAACTTAAAATAAATTAATGCATTTTGTATTAAAAAGTCTGTTTTTCAAATTCCCAGAATCTAAGATTCCTGGATCCAGTGGAGGCCCTAATTTTAGATACTTGCCTAATTGAAGCACGCTTGGCTCATCCAATGAGAATATGATATTCAGTTATATTTTAAAA